TTATAATAAACACCTATTGCCTTTTTAATACAAAGCTCTTGTGGATGAAGTATTACCTTTCATTTCATTTACTATAAATAGGCTTTTCTAATATAAAGCGCCTGTGGATTAATAGCTAACTAACTAATGTTTTAACTGTTACCGAACTAACTTTTATTAACAAATAAATATGATATACTTTAAGATGTGTTTACTATAAACCCATATGAGGTCGGCAAAATACAATGCTACGTTAAGGTGAATATAAACCTATTACGGTGTTTACAACCACTCCTTTCTCTCTGTGTGCGGATTAAAAATAAAGGAACTAAAAATTAAAACGGCAACGGTTTTTCATATATGAAACCTAAAAGATCATCCTCAAATTTTTTCATTAAAGTAAAAAATTCTGCAGCGCACTTTTAAATTCATTTTTGGTGTTTTCATTTGGATTGACTCTGTATCCTTTACAACTTTTATTAAAAAAATACTTAAAAAAAATAATGGAGATATTATTCTTCTATTAATTTCGTAAAAACCTTTTTTAAGCCCAAATAAAGTAAAATCACGGAAACTGCATTATACCAAGGTTAAATATATTCGTATCGTGTGATATATGACAAAAGTGGCATAAGCAGGTGCAACTCACGTTTTTGTTACATAATTTAGCGGCCGCTTCGCCGGGTAAACACGTGCGACATTTACCTTTGCATTACAGAGGAAGAAAAAAATGTAAAAATAAATGCATTCTTGTGTATAGTACAGGTTTAATCGGCACCTATTACGTTAGATTATTATTATCGGTGAACTTGACTGTACAAGCCTATTTTAATCGTTTATTTATTGCTGTAACGGCATTTTTTTTGTATTTTTAAATTTAAATGTTTAAATTTACATCGAACAAACGGTTTTCCATTTTTTTGCAATTTGAGTAAATTTTTTTGGAAAAAACAAACAAAATTCATTAATTTAAAAAAAATTGTAATCTGTCGAAAAAAGTCTGTGAAAATTATTTTATTATCTCAATACAAAAATAAAAAAAGTATTAAATAAATAAGCCAATATTTGAAAAGTAGTAGTGCATTAAACTACATAGATTTATCTGATAAAGCATTAAAAATTTTGCTTGCAGTGCCCATAAAACATTTTCTTCACTTTTACTGTAAAAAACTGCTTCTATATCGTCTATTTTCAAGGGACAAATTTTAATTTACACAGAAAAATTTCACATTTTAACGCCGGTAGATTTCCAATATAGTATATTATGTATCAAGTTTGATAAACGCCATAGAAAAGTTTATAAACGAGGTGCATACTATACTTTTTCTACGATAAATACTTATTATTATCTTAAAATGATTTATATCAAATATTTTTATAGAGCGCCATATAAAACAATAGGAGAATCTGTGTGTCACCGTCAAATGTCAAATTTTTATATTTTATAAACACAGATTATAAAGGTTATAAATCGAAATGTATTTCTTGAAAATTGACAGTTTTTTACAGTGAACGTAAAGAAAATGTTTTATGGGCACTTTACAGTGGAGTCTGTGCCCGAATTTAAGTTATAGTTCACTGCCGGCGAAATTAAAATTAAATGTTTATATAAACTTTTCAAATAAACTTCAGCCCGTGACTAAAAACCTGTTGCTAACTTCAGCCCGTGACTAAAGCGCCGTAAAGCCACAACTTGTCAATGTGTATTTAAGAGGTCACTTAGTGTCATGGAAACATGTGATGTGATAATGGTCGTTTTAAAGGTGGGAGTAGAAAAAATACTTTTTTTCCGTGTAAGAAGTTTTAATACTTATGATCATATTTTGCAATTATAGTAATAAAAAAATGAAATGATAATATATAATATTTTTTTAAATTTTGTATATATTTATTTCTTATATTTTAAAGTTATGAATAATTATAATTGTTAAGTTTAATTGAAATTAACAACGGGCAATGTCACTGTGACAATTACGTCAAAAATGTTTATCTAATTTAAATTAATTTTTAAATAATATTAAGTACTTTTAGTAGAAAAAGTATAGTATGCAACTCGTTTATAAACTTTTATAGACACTTATTTATTTAAACACTCGCTCGCAAGCTCGCTCGTACCCAATTTAAATTCGTAACTAAAATGGCGTGTTTCAAACTTGATTCATAATATACTATTATTTTAATAAAAACTTTCAAAATGTGTTTTTTTGTAATAAAAATTAAATTTTTTAAATTTAATGATTTCCGAATTATTCACAAAAATAAAAAATTTTGTAATGTATATTTTTAATGTTTTAAAAAACAATTAAATTTTGAAAATAATTAAAATAAAGTAATAATTTTTTGTTTCAAGTTAAATTGTATGATGTAAAAATTCATAGGTTTTTCCATTAAAAAAAAAATATTTTTAAAAATATTCGGAAACCTGGCTTTTGATTGTTTTTCTGATTTCATTCAATTTCATTTCAATTTTAATTAGAATTGTTTGTTTAGGTGAATACTTTTAAAATTTAAATTTATTTAAAATAATTTTAATTATTAATATATTTTATAGACAATACTACTATAATTTTATAAAGTTTTATCAAATAATTTTTAAAGTAAATAAAACCTTTGCACTACCCAATTTTTAAACTTGGCAATCTTAATTTTAACTTGCTAACACTGGAATTTCTATTTATATCTATAACACAATTGTCTACTAAGATAATCAGATTGTGATAAGGCTTTACACGACTTTTACAAATAATTTTATTTGTTGCACCTTTCATAATACTTGAGTAATAAGACATTGGATTATGACATTGCTATTTAAATATGCCTATAATATGTTGTTTAAATATTCTCAAGGTCATAGTTGTCAAAAATCAATTAAGTGAATTTCTACACACATCTTATTTTTACAGAAAAAGATTCACATGCTTTACTTTGTTTTAATTTTTAATGTTATAATAATATTAATAAATATTATAACATTGACTTCCATGAAAAGTCAATTTATAATCGATCCACAAAGGTGGAACTAGTAGGCAATGCAGATTAACGAGGGCAACCGCTTTTATTTTTATTTATTTTTTCCATTCGATGCATTATTAATACATTATCTACTTAACAGATAAACATGTAGTGCAATTCTTTGCTCTGGCCGAACGTCCAATAAAAACATCACAACTAATTGATACAGGGTCAAATAAGACACAGATAAACTTTATTTTTTATTAAATAGTCAGCAGCCATTTTGCTACAGGGAAGGCATTAATTTTTTTTTTATTTTAATTTAAAAACATTTTATTGTCTTAAAACTAAAAATGTTGCGCTACTGAAGACACACGCATGTTGGACTGAGGTCATCCACGTTCGGGTTTTTGGCTGTGTGAAATAAGTTCACGCATTTTTCACTTATCTGGTCTCAACCATCGGATTTATGTTTCCTTTTTGGATTTAAGTTTTCGCTTCAGCTCGATCAGTCAAGCAGTTGCTCTTAACGAACCGACTCTATAAAACCGTTCATCTACCTAATTAAATGTTTGATCTTATTTCTTAGGCGACTAGATGATTTAGGAGTTAATTAATATTTAAAATATAATTAAATGGCCATAGGTTTATTGATGGCGCCACCTGGTGGCGGTTAAAGCGTTTGGTCCTCATACTCTCCTCCTTATATGGGAAACAGGGGGTAACATTAAAATTTCCAACGGAACTTTTCAGGTTATGTATCTGTCAAAGTAAAGTCAATGAAAGAAATAATATTTATAGTGTTACCGCTTATGTTTAAGCGTTCAAAGTTAATAAATCTTTATAGTATCACAATAACAATGGTTGAATTAAGAATTTAGGAATATAAATACTGCATTTAATAAAATTCCAAAGTGTAAGGTGCAATATAAGTGATATTTTTGTGCATTGGGCCATAAAATAGTTTTTATTAAAAAAAATCTAACTTCTCTATTATGATTAACACACTCTTCCAAATAATCCACTTATTTATTTTTTATATAGATTTTTTTAACCCTAAAATACAAAATTAGATGATATTTTTTGTTCTAATATATTAACCTACCTTTATTCTTATTCCATAATAGAGAAGCTAGATTTTTTTAAATAAATGCTGTTTAGTTAAAATTATTTTATAGAGAAAACCAGATATTTGGACCAAATGCACAAAAATTTTACTTATTTGGCACCATACACTTTAGAATTTCATTAAATGCAGTATTTATATTCTTAAATTCTTAAACCATCCATTGTTATTGTAATCTTTTAGGATTTATACATTTTTAATGCCCAAACATAATATTATTTCTTTCGTTGACTATACTTTGACAGATACATAACCTGAAAAGCCTTAAATGCCAAATTTTCAAAAGACTGCGTTCCTTACGTAGTCACGTGGTGGGACTTTGAGGTGTGGAGCATAGTACTTAATTTCACCGTACAGTCAAGCAGTTTACTAGAAACGGGAGTGTTCATGCAAGCACACGAGAATTATAATAATAATAATAATAATAATAATATTTGGGAATATCCCAGAGAAGTGTTAGCAGAATATTAAAACGAAATAAATAAATAAATTTAAAAAATAAAACCAAGTATTTTATTCAAAAATTATTGGAGAATCGTATACAGAAGAAAAATCGAACAAAATTGATTTTTTTCATTACAGCGCCATCTATTACAAATATGAACCAAATTTTTAGACAAAATCCACCTATTAGACAAAATAGACCAATTTTAGTACTGATTGATTTTCCCCCTCGAATTATTTAATTTTTATTTTAAACATTTTTTCGTAAAATGCATACTAATTGAGATATTTCAAAGTTTAAATTTAAATGACTCACGCTGTATTTTTTATAAAAAATCCATCAGTTGCTTTGACTAATGCATTGTTGAATTTCAACAATTTTATCTTCTACATAAATGAATTGTAGAATTTAAGCAGAGTAAATTAATTAATTTTGCATATTTAGTTTGGCATTTTGAAGATAAGAATGCACCATCAATTGATTTCTTTTTTTTTTCAGTTTAAAGAAGCCGCCCTGGATGCAGTCAATCCGCATCTTTTCACTGTGGCCACTTTGACAGGGCATGCAGTTAGAACCGTTGGTGATGGATACTCAATCAGTAAGTACCTAAAAATATTAGTTTTTTTATTAAATTATATTTTCCTTATTTTGTAAGGATTCATTCTATTTTATGTATGTTTTATTTACTTAAAAGTATCTTAGAGCATACAATACCGGGATATAACCTTAAAGCATATAAAATATGGATAATAATTAATAATTAAAAACATAAATTTACATGATGTTAAGACAACTCTTCATCCTATATGCATTTATATTAATTTTACTAAATAAGGAAGCGAATTCTTGCCAACAAATCCCGCATTCCGAAAAGGTAAATGCTCATAAATAAATTTCAAAATAATAATAATATTGAACTTGATCGCTCCATATAATCGTTCGGATACCAAATACGCACTAAGCGAGATATTTCGTTTGCGAATCTATTAATATTAAATAGGACTGGTTATTGTGTTGCACAGTAAACTCGAACGCCATTTTTAGACTAAACGTTTTGATACGATACAATTCCGATTATGGAGCACGCATTGCATTACTAACCGATAAAAGTAAAGGAGATATGGCCAAAATATGGCCAAAACGATCCCCAGGCGAAATGCCCATATTGTTTTATTTGGCCACCAAAGACAATCTTCATAAACGAAGTGTTATATATGAAATAAAAATAAAAATGATTTTTAATGGAGTATTCGAGATAGTAACTGACCTTTTAGAGCTGATTAATTAATACTTGGAAAATTTGTTGTCTATAATTATCTTCTTTATGCTACTAGAAAAAAGCTATAAATCTTTAAACAATCACTAAAATACGCATTGCAAATATGGTAATTTTTATAAATATTAATAATAGCATACAAAATAAAAACTTTTTAATTATAACATCTGTTACTTCACGTGAAGTTCAGTCACGTGTCGGCTCTTAATTGAATTTGTTAATAATAATTTTATGTGGTTTTCAGTTTTGCATATATAAATTTTATATTAAAATTAAATAAAAACGCAATTTGTATTAAAATTAAATAATAAAATTTGTAATATAATATAATTTTGACTTTAAACTGTCAATATTTGTATATAGTGTGCGTGTGCTAATCAATTGTACCAATGAAATTTTTAAAGTAAAAATTTTTAGTGATGTTCGGGTAACTACACAATAGCGATAGGTACCAACTTATTTTGTGTTTTTTCTACATTTGATTTAAAAAATCTAACTGATTTTAGAATTATTTTTTATTCTTAGACAAAAGGCACTATACGTGTTGTAATTCAACAACGTAATATAAAAAACGTAAATGATCCCAAAATTAAAATGTTAATCAAATTTTGACCTCGAATAACTCTGGAAGAAATCAATTTATCGAAAAATAATAAGAGACCTTTTTTGTAAAGCGTTACATTTTATATAAGAAACTGCAATGATCATTGCCATAAGTTACTTTGATACAGAGGTATAAAATTCCAAACATAAAATTATTTTTCCCATGTTAATTAAATGGGAAACTAAAATAAAAACAGCGACCTCTTAGAGTTGAGCTGGAACGCCCATATTTGGTGAGGATTTTTTATATTAAAAAGAAACATTTGAGAGGGTAAGAGCAAAAAAAAAATTAAATTTTATTTTTTGAAGCACCCTATATGCAGTGTTATTTAAAATCTAAAAATGCGTTGTTGAATTATTAAAAAAGATATACGGACAAAAAATACATTAATTAAAGAAATGTGCTGTATAGGGTTTTTTTTAAACAAAAACTTATAATTATTACTCTGTTTTTCAATTTATAAATCTATTCTATCTTTATTGTATATATTACTCTACGTTAACAGCTATTACAAGTTGATTTGTAGTTTTAATTTAATAATAATAATAATAAAAATAATATTACATAAAATTTTTAGACAATTTGCAAACCTTTTCTTATTATTAGAGATGGGATTTTAGGTTGCAAAATTTATAAAAATAGACTTTTACCTAAATACCTGTACCTAAATAGGTCTTGTTTTAGGTGAAAAAATTCTTCTTTTCAAAAATAGGTACTGGATAACAACTTTTAGGTGGTACAATTATTTAATTTATAAATTATTTATACAATATTATAATACTGTATAAATATTAATGAATAAGAATTTGAAAATAACGAATATATTTTACCATTCTAAATTTTATATTTTTTAAGGGAACGGACAAAATGCTGACTTAAAAATTTAAATCTATTTAGTTAGAAATGTTTAAAATATATTTTATCATGAAAAAGCAAAAATTTGACAGAATTTGTAAAAACGCAACATTGCACAGGAATCTCACATTCCCAGTACCAACCAATAAAAATAACTACATAGTGTATAAGAATTATGTCATCCAAATACCACCACCCCAATTTTACAATAAAAAGCATATTTTTGATGGTAAAAATTTAAAAATTTAATTTTTATTAAAAATAAGAATGTAGATGAAATAGGTAAAATAACATTATTTTAGGTGGTAAAATTTAAAAATTAAATTAAACTTTAAGTAAAATGAGTAAAATAAAATCAGGTTCAATCTATTTTGCAAAAATTCTATAAAAAAATTAATTTTATACCTTAAATTTAATTTGGTCGAATTTTACTTTAGATAGTTGGTATCACAGTCATTGGTTTGACACTTAATGTCAAAATCGATTCGCCATGCCGTCCTTAATTTACTTATTTACAATAAGCGGCTGTTAAAGAAGAAAAAAAGGATTTTCTTTGGTGTTAAACAAAATTTATTGCCAGAAAAGTCTCGTAAGAAAAATAATAAAAATATTATAACCAATGTGCCAATAGCCAACCTATAAAATCAAAATTTTGGGTGGGATAAAGTATCTCATTACAGCACTGAAAGCAAAAAAGATAAAATCTTTTTTTTTATGTTATGATTAGCGTAGATAGGTAATAAAACTAAAATCCCATCTCTACTTGATATACTTTGGTAGGATGCAAATCAACGATATTAAGTCGGTCAAAATGAATGAAATGACACTTGATGCATTTTATTGGCATAACAAATATTTAAATAACGTATTAGGAAGTAAAGTGAGCGCATACCGGCAAGTGATTAATGCCATTTGCCGGTTTCTCTCTCATCAAGGAAGCAATAAGCAAGAATTCTCAGATCTGTGGTAGGTGTATTATAGATTAAACGCTTGCCTTAGCACAACAACTTTCGTATGAAGGTATGTATTGATTTTTGATAAATGGGAAGTATTAAGAAGATATGTTGATTAATAAAATCATTTATTTTCGATTATTTATGATTCTTAAGATTATTCTGTGTAGACACAAAACTTTTATTCAAATGCATAGTAATAAATTGTTAACTTTGGCCTGCCAAACTAGAAAAACACATTTTTTTTTTTGGCACGGTTTTTGAGATACCTTATTTTCTTTGCAAAATGGTCATATTTTAATTATTTTTATTGTTCTGGGCGAAAAGTTTGCATTCCTATTTATGTCCAAAAAACTACTTTGTGTTTTTCAAAATTCGAGTCTAATAAACTTAATTTACTAAACTGATTAAGAAAGATATATTAGTCGGCGATTCGAATATGTTTGGTTTGGCCGTTTCTAGATCGAGATATACAAATAAAAATTATATTGCAATATAAAACATTTAACATTATGTAAAATTAAAAACGTAAACGAAACTTATGGGTGGTCCAAATAATGACCAAACTTATCATGTTTGCAGAGAAAAAATTAACGTGCATGTAAGTACTTGCCAACTGAGTTTACGGTAAAAGTTTGCCCAAAACCTTAACGGTACCGCAACACAAGTACCCATCAATTTAGCTCGATTTTTTTTCTCAGCCATTATCCGCTCGGACCCGTTATTTTGGTGCAATTCGCACCGTAACGAAATCCGAAAAAAAAAAGTTTTCCAGTGCAGTTCAGTTTTATTCATTTCAGTGCAGATATTGCCAAATAGTTATGTATCAAGGCAGTCAAGTCGTATTTTTTATCACGAATGTTAAAATTAACCACGTGAGTGATAAAAAATGACTTTAATGCCGAGGTGCATATTAAATTTTATACGAAATCACATTTAATAATACTAAAAATTAATATTGATGATTAAATCAAATGTCATTTGATGATCAAATCAAATGTCATTTGAATGTAGGAAGTGTTTACGTATACTATTTTTTACGACGGTTATGTAATTAATGTTATATATTAAAATACTGAATACCTTTTGACATAAGGAATAAAGGAAAAATATTTAAAAAACATTTTTCCAAAGATAAAGAAAAAATATGCATTAGAAGTTTTTTATATTTTTTGTGATACGCCACTGGTTACACACTTGTTTATCTCTGCACACCTGTATTTTGTGAGTACATAAATACCAACCAACAAAGTAGCTATGCGTTGCAAGATGTAAAAAATTGTTACTAAAAATTTTTCTTGCAAAAAATAAGTTTTATGCCCTTAAAGCTCTAATACCCTTCTGTATTTATTTACTGATCCAGCTATTAGCTTAAGCAATGAGTAGAAAATTTAGTACCTTTGAAATTTGAAATCCATAACCACAAAATTAATTTTTTCATCAGTTTTTTTCTCTGTTTACTCAGAATTGGGACCAGTTCACAGGTTAAACTTTAAACATTTAATTTGTGTAAATAAATCCAAAAGCACTTCCCTTAGTTAAGATATTTACAATTTGAAAACATAACCTAAAATTTAAAAGAAATGCACTAGATTCTGTCATAAAAGTTGGCAGATTTTGTTTGAATTTACCTTCAGTACAAAAATGAAATAACCAACAATTAATAAAAACGCCAAATTGACAATTTGCATTGTTAATTTTGTCATTTTTGTAATTAAGCTAAATTTAAACAATGTTTGTCAACTTTTTTGAGAGATTTTGGAAACACTGTTACCAACCATAACATAATAAATCCACCAGATTAACCTAAAGTTCCTAGTCGATCAGTGGCGTACTTTTTGGTAGGATAAAGGTTATTATAAATTATTTTTGGACTTTGGAATTTAGAAAAAAAAAAGTTTCAGGTGCTTCTTTATGGACCCTAAGGAACAACCCATTTTAATATATAACATTAATTACATAACACCCTTTTTAATCTAATTAATAAAATTAATTATTTTTATTAAACAACATTTTATGAAAGGGTCCAATCGACCTCCGCGACGGTGCTTTTTTAAATATTATTTCGTTGCTGCTGAGGAGCAGTAGACACATTTTAAAATGTATAATGGGTTGCATACAATACTCGTATTAAATCGGCAGTAAAGTTCTACTTTACTGCCGATTTATTTTACTTTACTGAAGTTTTTTTTGCAAAAATATATAAATTTTAAGTTCGGATTCGCTCACTGTTAAACCCTTTAAATGTCATTATGTTTCATTTTGCTTAATTTAGATCACTGTAAAGTTTGAAGAAAATGGGGACACATAGCGGAATTTCACAAGTTCCGCAATAGCCTCGATAAAGATGCGTTTTTTACAGTTACATCGTTACGAAAAATGGACGAATCATAGCTGGGCGCACGGCACTGGCTTTTAAAGTGACTAATGTGGTACGCGGAGAAAGGTTTATGATTAAATCGGCACAATTAAGTTCGGAGAAGCGAAGTTGCCACGAAAAAAATTTGGCGCACCGGTAATTATTCACTTGTCTTGCATATTTTCGAACCAGGATGTTCGGAAATCTTTTTTGGGCTCGTATGTAATGCGTATCGTGTTTGAACTAAATTAACGATTTTTTTCTCGGAAACCATTATTATTTAATCATCTCTTTAAAGGGATTGTTTTGCAATTTACATTCGTCAGAGGAATTTAAGAACTGCCAATTTAAGACTACTTATGTATAAAATCAATAATAAATTAATTGTGGAAATTATACACGGTGCTGTTCTGAGAGGTGATTTTTGGACTTTCTGTGAAACCTAATTTTTTTTTATATTCTTGTTAATTAGGTCATAACTAAAATTTTAAGAGCAAAATAAAAAAAAATTGACGGTTAATTTTGTTTTAATTTGATGTTTATTAAAAATATGTATGCACACTTTCAATTCTCCAATTAAAACTTGCGATTTTATTTAAATATTACCATAACTTTTTAAATCAGATTAAAGATTAGTTAATTTCCTAAAAAAAGGTCTATACATTTTTTATATCTAAAGTTTTAATTTAAGGTTAAATGTATAGTATACATTTATTAAACAATAATTCTAAGGGTGCCACATTTTATTTAGGGCCGATTTATTCATTTTTGATTTCTTTGATGAATAATTTCTTTGGATACTAGAAATTGCCAAGACATGAAAGTTATCGGCCCGTTAAACTTTACTAAAGATGAATAAACCGGTCCTTAGTTAAATTTCATGAATTTCTTCGTAACTTTTACTACAATTTTTCATTTTTGTTTATAAAAAACACTTTAAAAAACTTAACAAAAATTATAAAATACGTATACTGAAAATGACAATTCAAACGTCAAATAAATTTTTAATAGATCTAAGTTTCATGGCAACCTTTAAGGATATATTAATTAAGGGAACATAAATGTATACGTCAAAAGTTAGATTAAAAGTTTGAACATTTATTGCAACAAAACAGTAAAATATATAAAAAAAATTGTAAAAACCTTTTTTTTTAGTTATGCAAATATTAAATATTTAAATTAAATCGCTAGTTTTAATTGGATAATTGAAAGAGTGCATAATATTTTTAATAAACAGCCAATTAAAACAATTCAAACCGTCAAATTTTTTTAATTTTGCTCTTAAAATTTTAGTTATGACCTAATTAACAAGAATATAAAAAAAATAGGTTTCACAGAAAGTCCAAAAATCACCTCTCAGAACAGCACCGTGTATATTTATAATATTTGGGAGAAAACTGATTTTTTATATTAAGTAATTATTGGTATACATTTGAAATAACTTACTTAAGGAGGTTCGAGAAGTACATTTTGGGTAAAGGGGTAAGATATACTTAATGCCAAAATAGCAAAAACCAAATTTATTTTGGCATTTTATATCATTTAATTATAAAAAAACAGTCAATTTTTTAACACATTTTTTTAATTATTTTTTTTATTTGAATATACACTAGGCTGGTTTTTATTCGGGCAAAGTCGGTATTTTAATCATGCCACAATTCATTTGTTTAAAAAAAATTTAAAATAATTAATTCCAAAATTGAATGTTGTAACTTATTTCCTTGCATTGCCTGAAAAGTTTTCCAGATAGAGGATTTTTTACTTTTACTATTATTTTTTTAAGTGAATATTATAATAATAAATAATTATTATAATCTATGGGTATAATTTTTTCGGAAAATGTAGAGGCCACAAAAAAATCATGTATTTTTATTCTAAGGTCTTTCTTGCTCGATTATTACTCAGTTTCCCTTATAGGAGATTTTTGCTTTATAACGTAATAATTTATTAAAATCATTAATAGTTAACGAAAAACTATAATTTTTTTGAGGAAATAAAGGGAAAAAATGCATGTAGGGTAAACCACATAGTTAATGGAGACTATTATTTATTTAAAATTTATATATGCATATAGGCATGCCGTTGTTTTAAAGATTTTAGTTTTTTCTCATAAAAAGGACAGTTTGTTTAAACTTTATTTACGTTTACTTAAAAATAAGAATATTTGAATTTTTAATAATATTTTTATAAAAATACTTCAACTTATATCTCAGTTTACGTGTTCGAGGGTTTTTCGAGAAAATATTTTTAAAGCAAAAATAAGGTCTTTCACAGCATATTTTTAATTTACTTAAAAAAAATTCCCTATAAAAGTTTTTTTTTCGAGCTTTTTTTGTTATTAAATAAAAGGGCTTTAAGAATATTTTCTCGAAAAACCCTTGAACACGTAAACTGAGATATGTTAAAGTATTTTTATCCAAAATTTTATAAAAAATGTTAATTTTGATGCTCAGTGTATAATAGTGGCACATAATGTACCATTTTTTTTATTAATTTGTTAACCAGTGTTATTATACATATGTACATACGCCCTATATCGCTCACGTGTTAATAAAACGATTTCTATAGATAATTAAGGAAAACATTGTTTTTATCTGTTTGGTATGTAATTATCATATTAATTAAATTACTAAAGTATTTACCGATATTTTTAATTAGTATCGGACCTGTTGCTCTCGTGTCTAAAAATAAAATTCAATTACTTTTGTAATAAAATCGTACGCATTCACAACCTTGATTTTCAATTTTATTTCAATGTACATAAAGACATTAAACTAGAATATTTAGCAACTACCCACTATGTATATTAAACAATTGAATATTTAAAAAAGTATTAAAATTTAACGACAGTTTCAGACAACTAGATTAAATTTTCTAAGCAATTTTTAACAAAAAAAAAAATATTGTGCAACAAGTGTAAGAAAAAGGAGCGTTAAGTATAAAATCACTCGTTTTTAGTGTTTTTAAAAAATTTCGATCAAAACTTTTGTCACGAAATGTTAAATGACAAAACTACAGGACTGTATTTTGTTAAAACTTGTAAAACATAATAATCAGAACAATTTTTTTTACAAAAATATGACTATATACATTAATAACGAGAAAATAAGGGGCAACGTCGCAAACTTCATCAATCGATAACTTTTTGCCTTCGCATTTATTAAACTGTATTTTCTATCTCTTTTATTTTTGTCGCTTTGCGTGTTTTGTCTCTTTTTAATTTTTACTGAATGAAAATGAGGCTATGCTTTTGACATTTGACATTTTGTTGAACATACGTCAATGAACAAAGAGGTATTTTTGGTAAACAACTGTCAGTTGCAACTATATAAAAATTTAAATCGTCATTTTGATAAAACATCATTGCCGGTCATAAAATGTTGCCTTGAAACTAAATATACGCAAAAAATACTATCAAATTTAATAGTTTTATTTTTTGCATTGCAACTGCAATGAAGTCATTACCTTCGCTTGTTTTTGATGAATTTAATCGACCTTAACATTCCTAATAACGAATAAAAAATAAATAAATCACACTATTTTTAGCATAACGCATTCCATTAGATAATCTTTTACATGTAATTGTATACAATTGCTGTTTAATACATCGACGCATCACAATTAATTTTTTTCAGTCATCGATAACGGACCGGCTCGTAAGGAAGGTAACGCCCAAAAAATGCAAATCGCATCCGATTTGATTGGGGACCCCATCGAAATCTCCACCTTACGTAGAGAGGACATTTCCAATCACAAAGGACAGGCTGAAGGGGACGATGTCGTCCAAGGACAAGCTAAACCATCCACCATGTCTAACAGAGGACATCAAGGTAAAAAATTAAGAGTTATCACAAAAAGTTTAAGAGTTATCCAAAAATGTTAAGAGTTAACCCAAAAATATAAGAGTTAGCCATTTTTTTGCTAAGAATGTACAATTCGTTAAGAGTTAAAAATTAACTCCCAATAATAGGACCATGTTTGCAAATAATAAGAGTTAACTTTAGCATTAAGAGATATCCAAAAGCATTATATCTAAATTTTTATTTGTTTGCCCCAAAATATTTAGAGTAAAACTTTTGAAGAGCTATTTATAAATATTAGGAGTTAACTTTGTAAATATAATTATTCCATATTTCCACTATACTGCATAAGGTAAAAAAATATAAGTTAACGGCAAAATAATAAAAGTTCACAATTTTTATTAAGAGTCATTCAACTAATTAGGAGTTAATTTTTTGTTTGTGTTTTTTTTTAAGTTTTAATTTTAATATTAAGAGCTATTTTAAAACATGGCTAAATTTTCCTGGGATAATAAAAAATTATTAAGAGTTAACCATTTATGGATAGGGTAAACCACATAGTTATTGGACACTTGGAGAATATTATTTATTTAAAATTTATATATGACGTTTTTTTTAAGATTTTAGTTTTTTTCTTATAAATAAATATATAAAAAGGATGGTTTGTTAGTTTAAACTTTATTTACGTTTACTTAAAAATAAGAATATTTGAATTTTTAATAATAGTTTTATAAAAACATGCAAAAAAGTATAGTAATTGGACATTTTATGTATTAATTGGACCCATGGACCATAGTTATTGGTCATAAAAATTTTATATAAACATAAGAACTTTACATCAAATAACATAAATTGTTAAATATTTGTTATTCTGCAAGATGTCCTGTGATGAAGAAATCACTATATTACTTACTCTTTAAAAATGAATTAGGAATTGACTATATCTAAAAAACTGCTTAACTTTGATAGTTTTTAACGGTCTTTTCGGATTCAGGGGACAATCTTACATAAGAATTATCTGGTAAATGTCCGAGATACAAATAGAGTATGATATTGGACATATGTCGAATAATAGAAATTTAATTTTTTTACCAACCAGTAATTGGACACTGGCCATTTTACTGTCTGTTTTCAGAATTAGAATTTAAACGCATTAAAGTGACAATGTTTAAACCATGAGAAACACATTTATACCACACACTGATCTGTACACTTTTTAGATTTTTTTTTATTGTAATTTAAACACAGCCCTGCTCTTAACAAAAAAAAAACAAAAATCTTACCACCAAAGTAACGTGCGAACTTTTTTGTCCTATATTGGACCCAAAATAAAGTAGTTCTATATTATTACTGACTGAAATATTTTTAATTGTCTAATGATTTGACTTTAAGGTAACTACTGTTTTTACAGTATTAATGTTAATTGTCCAATAACTATAAAGTGTCCAATAACTGTCTACTTTACCCTATTAACTTTTTAAGTAAATATTGAAAGTTTCGTCTACTTCATTTTGTTTATTAACATTTTAAGTAGGTATGCAAATATTAAGAGTTATCCTTTTAGGTCCCATGGCATTTTTACTGATGGCTTCAGGTTTAGATAAACATGGTTCTGGCAGTGAGAAACCTTTAAAATACAGTCATTTGGATATTGCTGCTTCAGCAGGAGATTGTCCAAATCCTGCTACTGGAGCTCCTATTTTAGCATTGGCTAAAAATTACTTATTCGTAAAATAAAATATTTTAAAAATGTCGCACATATTTATAATTTTATCCCATGTTTACGCTTAATTTTTATATATTTTAATTTATGCTTAAAACTAATAAACTATATAATTTTATTTGGCATATTATTTTGTAATAAACGATTGTCTTGAAGTGCAAAAAAGTGGTAATATTGAATAGGAAATGAATCATTTTTTAATAAAAGTTCAAGGCAGCCATAAGAAATATGATTATAATAAATAAATTCACTGCGAGATACGTGACAATGAGCGAAAAAAACTCGAAAATCTAATGCTGCAACAAGTGGACTGAAGGTCGTTGCGGCAACAGAGATTTGCAGAACTGTGTCAAGTGAGTTAACCAGATTTAACTGGTCGGTACAAAAAGTTAAAGGGGATTAAAAATATATATCTTTACGATAACTTAACTAGGAGTGTTTATTTATAAAAAAACTCTTTAGTAAAGGATTGTTAAAAAATCAAAGGTAAACCTTTAAACACACTTCTTTCTAAAGGCGTTTTTTATACACTCACGTGCAAAATAATCGATCCACACAAATTTTCGATGAATTTCAATTGCAAATAACTTTTTTATTTGATGTCGGATTTAAACGAATATTAAAGAATATTGTAGATAAATTAATGGACAATCGCTCACATTTTAAAAAAATACTACAAAATATACGTACGTTTATAATATACAGGTTTAAACAAAAAGATGTTTTTTACCATAAGTTTAAGACACTCTGTAGAGTGGCAAAACCGGATATTGTTCTAAATTAAGTTTTATTTATCAAGTCACATCTATTCTTAACAGTTTTGTTTTTGGTTCACCTCGATATATTTATTTTTGTGGAAAATATGGATTTTTAAAAAAAACATTGCAATTTCCAATATTTTTCTGTATGAAGAACTAAGGTTGCTATGGTCCATCCATAGGCTATGGAGAATGACATTGACAGTTTTGTTGAATCATCCCATACTTGGACATGTCATACACGGCTTTCAAAAGCTATCAAATTGTTTTTGGCAAATTAATGTTTAAATTTTGAGGTGTCTTCTTACTTTATAAAATGGATATGTCTCCGACTGATGTTGCCAGAGCTATTAGTTTAATCCAGGATGGACGGTCACAGTATTACGTGGCAAGTGTTTTAAACATCATAAAAAGTAAAGTACAAAGGGCAACATCAGTCGGAGACATTTTTAAAAGTAAGAAGACACCTCAAAATTAACACATTAATTTACAAAAAACAATTTGATAGCTTTTGAAAGCTGTATACGACATGTCCAAGTATGGGATGATTCAATAAAACTGTCACTGTCATTCTCCATAGGCTATGGATGGACCATAGCAACCTTAGTTCTTCATACAGGAAAAATATTGGAAATTGCAATGTTTTTTAAAAAAATCCATATTTTCCACAAAAATAAATATATCGAGGTGAACCAAAAACAAAACTGTTAAGAATAGATGTGACTTGATAAATAAAACTTAATTTAGAACAATATACGGTTTTGCCACTACAGAGTATCTTAAACTTATGGTAAAAAACATCTTTTTGTTTAAACCTGTATATTTTAAACGTACGTATATTTTTTAGTATTATTTTAAAATGTTAGCGATTGTCCATTAATTTATCTACAATATTCTTTAATATTCGTTTAAATCTTACATTAACTAAAAAAGTTATTTGCGATTGAAATTCATCAAAAATTTGTGTGGATCGATTATTTTGCACGTGAGTGTAGTTGTTCTTGGTTGATGTATTTTTGCGAATCGCCTAAATTGTAATGCAATACAGATTCGACCGCAAGGATTGTTCCTTGATCTTAGTCAGCTTGGAAATCCTGTTCCTGTTCGATATCGAATGCACAGCCACTTTGATGGCGACGCTTGGTACACTGACTGAAACTTGGTCAAGGATTTAACGGACAGAAACCAATCAATCTGCGATTTTGTTCCGTCTCGAGTTTTTTTTTTGATCTATCAAATGAATATGCATTTTTTTTTATTTATGACATTCACCGCAAGAATGGTTGTAATTTATGGTTATTTATAAAGGAATATTATTGTTGGTTTTAATGGTCTAAAAAATTGCGTTTAAATTAAAGATGCAAATTTATGCAGAAAAAAATTGTTATGAATTAAATTGTAATTATTAACCTAATTGTTCGGATATGGATATAAATAAATATAAATTATACAGGGCTTAAAAATTAACCATATATACAGGGTGATTTACCTTACTTATTCATTAGAAGTTTATGGAGAACGAAATTTGTATAGCAATTATAAGACAATGTAAACTATTTTTTTAAATAATTTTCAATGCGTTATCACTTCCGGTTAAATCGGAAGTGATATCAACTTTTGTTTTTCAAATGGAACCATATAAATGTTATTGCATTTTTAAATTCTAAGTTGCCTAATTACAAGATTATTAAAATGGAGTTTAAAAATTTTAAAAATTCTCAAATAATTTAAAAAACTGAAAACCTGCCAAAATCGTTATAACTTCGTTATTCCTGTGAATTTAAAAAAAGTAAGTTTTACACATTTACATATATACATTTTCAAATTTGTTTTATGGAAGCGTTTTCGAAATATGAATTTTCAATTGTTTTTTTTTAATTTTCTGAGTTGTTTTGACGTTTTAGAGTATACTTCGAGTTTTAATTGATCGATTTGACCAAACAAGCACTTAAATTAAAGGTAATTAAGCCCTCTACAACTTTCTTTTGTATAGTTTTGGTATAGGCTCAGAACTATAGTTCGATACTGGCGATTTTGTTGAAAAGGTCCTTTTTTACAAAAATCGAGGTCTAAAATTTACATATCTTTCTGGGAAAGATAGAAATCGAAAAGATAATTCCAGTTTGATTTATTTTACGTATAGATTATACTTAAAGGAAAAAAATCCATGGATAAATGGCGAAGTTATGAATTTTTCAGTGGAAGACCAAAATTCATGTTTTTCGAGAATTTTTACTTTTTTTCTTCATTTTATTGAATTATATGAAATTTAATAACATTTTACACATTTTATTAACTAAATAAAACCATGATAAAAATACCTTGTTGAAATATCAAAAAATAACAGTGAAATTCACGTTTGCGGAGTTATGTCAAATTTAAATTTTGAATAAAGTTTTCGGTGAAAAATGTACGTAAAAAACTCAAAAAATTCCAATCATGCACTTTATTTAGGTTTTCATTAAAGAATTAACATATTAAAATAAAATAAAAATCTTCAAAAAGCTGAATTTTGGTCTTCCCCTAAAAAATTTATAACTTCGCCATTTTGCCATGTATTTTTATCAACATTAGTCTGTTTTTTGTAAAAATGTCAGCTTCACGAAAAAAATTCAAACTGGAGTTATCTGACTTAACAAAACAACTAAAAAGTTTAAAACAATAATATTTCTGGAAATATTTATAAAAATGTTACAAAATTTATTTTATGTAGTATGTTTATAATAGAAGTTAAGATTTTGCATTATATTTAATAAAAAACCTTGAAAATTAATAAGTGGGAAACTTTATTATCCTAAAAAACATGTTACGTTTTTTGCGTGTTTTCTATTAACCAGGATACTGAGAAAAAAACATTATGGGGGATTTACAACTAAAAAATAGTTTGACACTAGGAGACGGGCTACTTTTTTTATTTGTTTATTTTTTTTTGTCGGCGAGGCTTTTTATGTTTTGACCTTTGAACTTTGACCCTTTATCATAGCTAATATAAAGTATTAATTCCACGCGAACAAAGTCGCGGGTAAGAGCTGGTACTTAATATATTTACAAAAATGTTTCTACAAATGTCCAGGTAAGCTCCAATATGACCCTGTTTTCGAAATAAAACTTTTATTGTGGTAAATTTGCACGTTTGCAAACTTGTTTTCCTTTCATAGCGACTGCCTGCTGTTTTATTATGTCATTTTGTTAAATGATTATTAAAATGGTAAAGTAAAAATTAAGGTGTCTGTAATAAGGTAAGTATGCCGACGAAGTCCGCAATTGCGCAATGTTCAGGTACAAAAACTCCCTACCTTCCTCTTAATAAAAGCTTATAAATAAAAAGAAACAATATGTAATAAAAAATGATTTTAAACTTCCTTTCATCTAGTTTTATTGATATACCTGCTCTTATTTTATGAAGCATTTTCAACAAAAACTTTTTTGTAAGTAAGCTAAAAAGTATACAGTAAGAATAAAATACATAAGACAATTTCTGACAATGCATCTCACAAAGATGCATCTTAATGTTTAATGTTAAAAATATAATTGATAGTGTCAGTTGACACCCCTCTTAATAATACACCCATGGTTACAAGTTAAAAAATCTTACTTTAAAACAATGTCTTAATTTTAGGGTTTAATGTTCTGCATTTTGTACACTGAAAAAAATATTCTTGTATCAAATAAATTTATTTGATTCAAAACAATGTTTGTCTCATATAACGAAGAGGATATATTCTTTAAAATAGTAAAGTAATTTCTTAATTCACGTTTATTTACTTCAAGAATGTAAGAAAATTAAATTTCTTTAAATAAAACTTTGATAGTTTAAAAGCAAGAATATATAATTTTTGAAATAAGGCAGCAATATTTACTTAATTCAAGAAAATGTATTTTTTTTAACCAAATAATTGGTTGTTTCAAAGCAAGAATATGTTCTTTGCAAAATAAATTAGTGGTATTCTAAAATGAAAAAGATAATTACTTAATTCAAGAATAAAAACATCTTTATATTTAGGAATATTACTGCAAAAGAAATAAAATTTAAAATAAAAATAAAAATACGTCTAAATACGTAGGGGACTGGAGTATTTTTAAATATCCTGTAATTTTTTAAGGATTGTTTTCTAATCTTAAAAAAACTTTTTATTAAAATACTTACTGATTATTCAAAATTGAGCCAAACTTACTAAAGGGCCAAAGTATACCTACGTTGTATCGTTTCTAGGTGCTGCAGTAAGCAAAAAAAATTAGGGTAGAAAATAAAAAAAACAAACAAACACATTTATTTTGTTTTTAATACAATAAAAATCTAAACTATATACATTATTATAAATTAACGTAGGAAACTTAATCATTATTATCGACATATTTT